ATGGGAGACGAAGCACCAGGAAGCCGTGGAGCAGCTGAAACAAGCACTAACGTCCGCACCGGTGCTCATCTTGCCAGATCCCGAACGTGACTACGTCATTGAAGCAGATGCCAGTGATCAGGCCGTGGGAGCAGTCTTGATGCAAGACCAAGGGAATGGACTGCAACCCATTGCCTACCTCAGCAAGAAACTGCACGGGGCAGAACTCAACTACCCGATACACGACAAAGAGGCCCTTGCCATTGTCATCGCCTTCAAAGCGTGGAGATGTTATCTCGAAGGACGCAGAACAACCGTCTACACCGACCACTGCAGCCTGAAATATTTGAAGACACAACCCAACCTTTCCAGGCGGCAGGTCCGGTGGATCGACTTCCTCGAGACACACTTCCACTACGACATCGTGTACAAGCCCGGCCACAAGAACAAAGCAGACGCGCTCAGCCGGCCTGCACACGTTGCCGCGATTCAGGTCGAATGGATGAATCCACTACTCAAGGGACTCTTCACCCACGGGTACGCCATCGACCCCGAAATTTCCTTGGCAGAAAAGCGACATCTGCTACAGTGGGACAGTGACATCGCGTACCGGAAAGGATCAACAAAAGTCTGGGTACCCAATTACCCTCCTTTGCGCCAGTTACTACTCGAAGAATACCACGACGTCCTGTACGCCGGACACTTCGGTAGCAACAAGACGCTCACCGGTATCGCCAAACACTACTACTGGCCCCACATGGCAGACGACGTCCAGAAATTCGTCACCTCGTGTGATACATGTCAGCGGATGAAGAGCAGCAAGAAGAAAAAGGCGGGACTACTGCAGCCTCTTCCTGTCCCAGAACAACCATGGCAAGTGGTTAGCCTGGACTTCATCACCGGGTTACCACCTACCTCCAGCGGTCATGACGCCATCCTTGTCGTCATTGACAAGTTCTCCAAAATGGGACACTTCATCCCGACACACACGACGGCACGCACCGAGGAGACAGCACAACTCTTCGTTCGTCACATCATCTCACAGCATGGCATCCCAACTACACTCATCTCCGACCGAGACCCCAAGTTCACTAGCAAGTTCTGGAAGGAACTTATGTCTCTGCTCGGCACCAAACTCGCCATGTCATCCGCATACCATCCGCAGACAGACGGACAGACCGAGCGCCTCAACCAAATTGTTGAGCAACTCCTCCGAGCAGCCTGCAAGGACGACATCTCCAAATGGGACTTGCACCTACCCGTCCTGGAGTTTGCCTACAACAACGCTACACACGCCGCTACGGGACAGACGCCGTTCTTCCTCTGCTACGGACGCCACCCACTCACACCACAGAACCCGACAACACCAGCAACAGTTCAACCTGCACATGACTTCATCACAACCATGCATCAGCTTTGGGATCGGACCCATAAGCGCCTCCTTGACATTCAACAGCAACAGAAGCGCCAGGCCGATCGCCATCGCAACGACCACACCATTTCCGTGGGAGACCAGGTTCTTCTTGACACCCGCAACCTGGACATCAGCCATCTCCCATCTAAACTTCGACCTCGCTTCTGCGGGCCTTTTCTCGTTGAAGCACAGGTCACTCCTGTTACCTTCCGCTTACGCCTGCCCGCTACCTGGAAGATTCACAACGCCTTCCACGTCCAACTTCTGAAGCCCTATCGGGACCCGAACACAATTTTCGTCGGACGCCAACCGCAACCGCCGCCGCCCGTCCTCGCCCAGAACGAACCCGAGTACGAGGTCGAGTCCGTGCTTGCACATCGTCGTCGTCGGAATGGCACCGTGGAGCTTCTCCTCCGTTGGAAGGGTTATGATCCTTCTGAGGACAGCTGGGTCTCTGAGACCGCCATGGGTAACGCCCGTCGTCCTCTGCATGACTACCTTGTCAAGCAGGGTGTTACTTCTACCACCCAGCTTTGAGGGGGGGAAGTGTGAGAGTACGACACCGTTACACCACTTGGCCTTTTTCATTTTTCATCTTCATTTCATTCCTCTTTTTATCTCATCTCCTTTTGCCTCATATTCCCCATTTTCCATTATCCTTTGGTTTCTTCCCTTATTATAATTATATCACCGACCAAGCATGGAATGTTCTAGACACGCTATCTAGCGTAATCCTCTCGTAATCTCTTCAAGCCAATAGCCTCGCGTGGCTATACGCAGGGTGATTCTATTTTCTAGAAGGGTCTATTCCTTTAGATAGGATAAACCTGGTTACCTGATGTATTCTGGAAGTATAAAAGCGCCTTGTACTGATCGATAGTGGGACCTTTCCTCGAGACATTCGATCCTGTGACAATCCCCCTGCTTAAACAACTGCAGTCGCTGCCGCCACCGCTGGTGCTGTAGCTACTGGTAACTTTGAAGGAGACTCAGCTTTATCCGGGCGGCCGCTATTGGAAGTATGTGTGGAAACAGTGCGTGCTACCGACCAAGTGCATGGTGCAGTTTGACCATGAGCTGGCAGCGGCGGTGGTGGTGCGTCACCTGGTGTCCTCTCTGCTGGCCCTGACCCCGCAAGACATCGAACAATACCTAGAAAGAGGAGAAACAAAGGGAGCAGGGTCAAGTCGGTCAAACCAGTCAAGCTGATCAAGTCGGTCAAACCAATGAAGCTGACCAAGCTGGTCAAACTGGTCAAGATGGTCAAGCCGGTAAGAGTCAGAGACAACAAGGACAACAGTGGGCACGCATGAGGTTGGAGCAAGGGCAGTGTTTCTCCACCAACTAGGGCGACTACCGCCACAAGCACCGGTGCCCCAAGCTCAAAGCCATCAGCGGGCAGGTCTCCCTCAAGTCCACCCAGCCCGGGTGGATGCTGTACCCCATTTCCCACGACAAGGAGGCCTTTCTCTCGCACTCCTCCAACACCTCTATCACGTTTGCTATCGATGCGAATCTCTAAGCCAGAGGGTGGCTGGAGTTTCTTTTTTTTTAAGGGGCGGGGTCTCGGGCCTGGGGTGGTGCATGCGACATGGGGATTGAAGGTGGGGAACGGCGGGGGAAGTGGTGGGGGAGGTGAAAGGATTGGGCGATAGTTATGGATTCAAAGGCTCGGAGATCGATGAGCCGGCGAGGTTTGTCGGAGGGCAGGTGTTGCGTGGGCTGGTCCTGAGAGGGAGAGTGGCGGTGTCTGGCCATGGTTTCTGGCGTGGATGGAGGGCCATAAGGGTTTGGCGTGATTGGTGAGTTTGTACAGTCGGGGTTGCTTTTGGACTCCAGTTTCTCATGATTGCACTGATGTGCTTTGCTGCTGATGTATATCTGCTGTGCTTCATATGCGTATGCATAACCGAGGCTCTTGCACATAGCATAAATAGCCCTTGTAAAAGCAAGCTCGAGTCGAAGTGCAGTATCTTGGAATCCTCCATTTTATGGATTTCGCATTTAAGAATTTCCCAATATGTTTCTTTTATGCTGTGAACCCTCGGAGTGTAGACTGCCCACTTTTTCGAAGATAGACGTTTGCTCAAAATCGCACAAAGGACTCCCCCAAACCCTTGATGACTTGCGTACGCCATCACATCACAGCCCTCAAATTGACTGCAAAAAAACGGCTTGTATGCGACGATAGTGGGAGAATTACTGCCGCGGACTGCTCACAAATCTTTTCATACTTTCGTGGACAGCCCCTACTTTCACGGACACCACATCAACCTTTCGCTTCTCCCGTGGACTCCGTCCCTACTTTCATGGGCATCCGCCTTACTTCCATGGACAAGGTCGAAATCGCAGGAAATAGGCGAAAACTCAACTGTACCAAAAATGACGGGCGCTGAAAAAAAAAAAACAAAAGCAGCAGCGGCTCAGCATGCGTCGCAAAGAGTCGCACGCTACAGTGCCCCAAACCAAAATCCGAAACAGAATCTACCAGAAATTGGGAGCATGACTTACACGCCAGGTTTTCGTTTGGTGCGTTTGGCACAGAAAGTCCTGTGACGTGTGATTCGGCAGGCAGTACCCACGCGTTTCTACGTCACTGTACTTCAGAAGGAAAAATGCCAGTTTGAGAGTGTCTGAACGATTTTGCGGGCAATCAGAATTATATTTCGAAGAAGAATTTTTATTTAGAACCTTGTTAAAGCAATAATTTCTGTTGGAAGTTACGAAGGGAAATTCTCCAAAACATTAATCATTGAAGGAAACCTTTCATTTTGCGAATATGATGTAAACAATAGCAGCACTAGTCTGAACTGGTTGACAATTTTACAGAGCGTACCGATTTTTCCTTCTGAAGTACAGTAACGTAGAAACGCGTGGGTACTGCCTGCCGAATCACACGTCACAGGACTTCCTGTGCCAAACGCACCAAACGAAAACCTGGCGTGTAAGTCATGTTCCCAATTTCTGGTAGATTCTGTTTCGGATTTTGGTTTGGAGCACTGTAGCGTGCGACTCTTTGCGACGCACGCTGAGCCGCTGCTTTTGTTTTTTTTCAGCGCCCGTCATTTTTGGTACAGTTGAGTTTTCGCCTATTTCCTGCGATTTCGACCTTGTCCACGGAAGTAAGGCGGATGTCCATGAAAGTAGGGACGGAGTCCACGGGAGAAGCGAAAGGTTGATGTGGTGTCCGTGAAAGTAGGGGCTGTCCACGAAAGTATGAAAAGATTTGTGAGCAGTCCGCGGCAGTAATTTTCCCGACGATAGTGTTGCGGATGACCAATCACATCAGCGATTACGTCTGACATAATAACAGCTGTACAGTAGAAGGAAACAGCGAGCCTGTTGCAGCATCGCAGCAAGGCCTGTCACACTCTGGCCCCTTCTGGCGCGGTTCTCGCATTTCTTGCACTTCTCTTTGTTACCCTGTGGCGAAATGAAATACAAACGAAAGGAAAAACTATTTCGTTCACATACCGCTTCAATTCCCATTGGTCCTCGGATTCGGCCTTGATGCACATCTCGTGCCACGACTGACAAGCACCATTGCACGTCATTTCCAAGCTCCTGATTCTTTGCATTCACCCCACCCCTCCACCAGATACATGAGCAGTCAAGAACTCAGCCCAGCAGGGAGGTAGGCGTTGTCAGTTCAGCGTAGTCAAATACCTGCGTGCTCCTTAGCTCGTGTGCCCTTTGCACTCCGTACCTCATCTCATCTAGTTCCTGCAGCACCTCATGGACGACGACGATGTTGCCTTCTGTGGCTGCTTCGGCTCGCCCAGTCCCCGGACACCCACGACGCCCTCGAAGCGCCCTTTTCTGCGCGGGAATGGTCCAGGTCAGTCAACAGAGTGGACTGAGTCTTTGAGCTTCTAGCTTGGAGTGCCTCAGTGAGTCGATTCTAGAGTCACCTCGTTCAGGTCAGTCAACTCAGCAGATTTTGTCGCTGAGCTAGTAGCTCGGAACCAGCATCGGTCGGAACCAGCATCGCTCGAGACTGCAAGCCCCTTGCAAAAAAAAAGAAGTCCGTGTGAACACAAGCATTTTAGCTCCTCTTTTTCGTGTTCTTTTGCCCACTCCGGAAACTACTTGCCCTGTAAACGAGGGTACCATTGTTAAGTCGTCGAAGTTTTTTTTCTTCTTCCTTTTAAATATTTTGTTTACTCGAGAAAAACAATATTTTCATCATTGCGCTACAAAAGCGTTGTATCTAAAAGCGTCCTGGCCCTTTTCTCCTGAGCTTGAGTTTCGTTCGCTGTTGGAGCAAGCCTGCGCGTATCGGGATTCGGGGGCTCTTTGAGGTAGAGGCATGATAGCGACCTCTTAGAATCTCTGTGCGAAAGCCGCCTTCAAATGCTCGTCCCGTGCGTCGGAAAAAAAATTACGTAACATGCCACGTGATAGAAGATTTGTTTTGAGACGTGCCACCGGGCCCTTCAACGCGACACTCCAACTGGATAGCTTCGGAGCGTTTTGCTTTCAAATGCCCCCTTCCTTTTCCTGCTCCCCTGCTCCCCGGGGCCCATCCCTGCCCCTTCCCCTAGTTTCCGCCATTCCCCTTGCCTCCACCCTTCCCCTTGTGTCCGCCCTTCCCCTTGTGTCCGCCCTTCCCCTTGTGTCCGCCCTTCGATCCCCACTCACAGGTTCTGCCAACAGCCAACCTTACTCCGATCCTCCTCCCCTGCGGCGGTTCTCGTACCGCGAGATGCAGCACGCCACGGGGCACTTCAGCGCGGCCCTGCAGCTGGGGGCAGCTTCGGGACGGCCTTTTATTCACTCATCCCTTCCGTTCTTCCGCTTCCTCTCTGCTCCACTGCTCCCCTGGCCCCACCCCGTGCCCCGTCCCCTTGTCTGCGCCCTTCAACTCCACCGCTTGCAGGCTCGGCAAACGAAAGGCCACCTTCCAGCCCCTCTCCCCTACGGCGGTTCTCGTACCGCGAGATGCAGCACGCCACGGGGAACTTCAACTCCACGCTGCAGCTGGGCAAGGGCAGCTTTGGGACGGTGTTTCGCGGGCAGGTGGACGAGTGGCTGGGAGAGCTGCCACGTGGCAGCAGGAGAGAGGTGGCCGTGAAGGTGCTTCATACTGACAGCGTTAAAGCCTTTGATGACTGCCTGGTGAGGAGAGGGGGAAATGCACAGGTATGGAGTGAGGGGAGTAAGGGCTGACGGGGGGGAGGGGGGATGGGCTTGGGGGGGATGGGAGAGGTGGCGGTGAAGGTGCTGTACACTGGCAGTTTTAAAGGCTTCGATGACTACCTGTCTAATGGGGGAGGGGGGTGAGGGAGGGGAGGGGGGGGGAAGAGAGGGAATGGGAGAGATCGGAGGCGCATGAGTGGTGAGTGATATTGAAGTTCATTCAAACTTACTGTAGAATCTGTTCAAGGGTTTTCTTTCTACTTACCTTCTTGTCTCCCTCATACCATCTTCATCCCCTCTCTCCCAGCTTCAAGCCCGAACCACCCCCATGAACGACCGCAGGACTGCTCTCCTCTGCCCCATCTCCATCCCCTCTGGCCCTCTCTGGCAGGCCGAGATCCTAGTCCTGGGCGATTTGAGTCACCCCAACCTGGTGCGGCTGCTGGGGTACGGCTGCGTGGATGATGACTCACAGCTGCGTGGATGATGACTCATTTTGCTCCCCCTTATCCCCATCCTCGTCTCCTTTGTGGGGCCCGCAGGCGGAGATCATAGTCCTGGGCGATCTGAGTCACCCCAACCTGGTGCGGCTGCTGGGGTACTGCATGGAGGACGACAGAGCCATCTTGGTGTATGAGCTGGTGGAGAGGGGCGACCTGCACCACTGGCTGCACCCCCATGGTGAGTCTCTGTTGTGCATGCATTAGGGATTGGAAGGGAGCTAGACGGTGTGGTGGAATAACGCGAGGGATTGAACAGCTCGTGTGAGTGCGCAAAGCAGGGATAGGGTTGGCAGGGTGGAAAACTAGGAACGAAAGAGCATGTGCCAGCCGGGAATTGAACCCAGGTCTGCACCGGGCACATGGCAGGGTGCTATTCTACCACTAAACAGCGCACACTTTCTGATGGATGGAGTATTTGGCATTCCTTTTTAGCTGCCGCATCCAATGATGCTTTGGAATCCGCTGCCCCCTCCCATGCCCGTCCCCAGGTTCCCCGTGACTGTCGTGGCAGCAGCGTGTCATGCTGCGCCCACCATCGCCCTCACCCTTCTCTTCCTCTTTCCCAGTCCTATGCTCCCGTACCCCCCTCTCCAGGCCTGACTTTGGAGCAGCTTTTTTTTTTTTTTTTTTTTTCATTTCCTCTTCGCTAACCCCGGCCTTCCCCCCTGCCCTCCATACCCATCTCTGCCCCAGACCTCTCCCCCACAGCCCGTGCCTGACCTGGGAGCAGCGAGTGCAGGTGGCAGTGGGCATGAGTGTGGACTGACTGTCTCCTGTCGCTTCCTTCGCCCCAGAACTCTCCCCCACCAGCCCTTGTCCGTGATGGGAGCAGCGGATGCAGGTGGCAGTCGGCCTGACTGAGCACTTATTCCTTCTTTTCCCCCTCGCTGCCCCCTGCTCGTCACCCTCACAACTATGTTGGAAAAAACGCGTATTGCGTTTTATACGCTTGCGTATATACGCTATATGCTTGGGTTTGGGGTCCAATACGACAGGAATACGGCTGCCCGGGCAGCGGAAATGTTTGCCCGTGCAGGCAAAAAAAACCGGCAGGCAGCCTTGAGGAGGGGGGGTGGGGGGCGGCGGGGGGGGGGGGGGGGGGGGGGGGGGGTGTGCAGGGCATCAAGTTTGAATTTTTTTCTCTCCATTAAAATAACTTTAACACAAGCATTTGTTACATCAAGAGTTTATCCAGGACCACATCCCCCCCCCCCCAACACCACATCCCCCCCCCCCCAACACCTCATCCCCCCCCCCCAACACCACATCCCAGCAAAACTCCACTAGCCCGACCCCCCTGCCACTGCTAGCACTGCTGCTGCTACTACTACAGCTGCTGCAGCCACTCTCGCCCACTGCTACTGCTGACTGGTCCACTGCTGCTGCTGTTACTCCCACTGCTGCAGCTGCCTGCCCCCCTGGTGCTGCCGCTACCACTCCCCCTGCAGCTGCCTCTGGTGACGGGTCTACTGGTACTCGTCCTCCATGACGAGACCCTCCCCCTCCTCCTCCAGGCCGTCCTCCAGGTTGTACCCTGTGCTGTGGGCACAGGGGCCTCGGAGCTGCACCCAGGAAGGACCAAGGACCCCCCGTCCTCCTTGTGCCAGTTGTGGACATGGTGCCAGTTGTGGGACACATAGACCAGGTCCCGACACTTTTCGGTACCGAGACGGTTGCGCTTGGCAGTGTGAACTGCCTCCCACACTGCCCAGTTACGCTCGCATGCGGCCTCTGAAACGGGCTGTGAGAGCACCCGACAGGCCAGAGCAGCAAGCTCAGGGTAGTCGGACCCGTGCCACTGCCACCACCGCGCCATGCTCTGCCTCCACTCCTTCACTGCTGCATGATCAGCAATGGTGGTGGGGAGCCCGAAGCTGCCCTTCAGAGTGATGAAGGCATCGAGGCCTTCCTGCATCACGAGGGTTGCACGAATGGGCTCGTGATCCCTCATGAACTCCTTGTCTTCATAGTGGCGGGCGATGAAGGCTTTGAAGACCCTCGTGCACTCCATGTCCGAGGGGAAGATCCCCTCCTCCTGATTGGCCGGGTTCAGGATGCGGCCAACCACATAGAGGGGGCACGCCATGCTGCCGTCCCACCTCCTTTTCACGATGCGGCGGATGGCATTGGCGTCCGCAGCGGTGAGCCCTTCCAGCCGTGACTCCTCCAGCTTCTCATCGACATCAACGGTAAGCTGCAGCATGAGGTCGTACATACGACCCATCATGCCCTTCGCCGACGAGTCGGTGGCGCGCATTGCCATGAACGGCAGCCGCATGAGGTTGACAAACTGCAGGGCCTTGGTCCACTAGTCGGAGTCGAGTATGGCAGCGCTGAACGCCTCGCTGCCCGGCTTCCTCCCCCAATCCGCGAACCTGACCCACTCTTCACTCAGCACAAGCTGAGTGAGGGACATCCGCACCTCGCACAGCCGGGACACGGAGATGATCTGGGTGCCGAAACGCGTGCCGGCCGGTTTCAGCACCTGCTTCCCCTTGCCCCCCTCCACCTTATCGCTCCGCATGTAGTTGCGGGTGAGGTGGTGCTTGCGGACGAAGGAGGTGATGATGGTGGCCTTCTCCACCACCTCCTTCACCCAGCCCATCCTCCCGATGTCCTCCATGAGGTCGAACACGTGCGTGGCGGCGCATGGCACGTGCTCGATGTGGGGGTGCTTGGCGATCAAAATCTTGCAGGTTGCGGCGTAGTTCGAGCCGCCATCCATGCAGAATGCGACGATGTTCTCCAGCCCAACGCACTGGAGAATAGGGCAGAGAATACAGACAATATAGCCGCCGGTCTTCATCTCCATGTTCGTGTCCACAGCATCAGTAAAAACGGCTCCGGAGTCGTTGATAAGGAGGACGTTGGCGATGGGCTGGTCTCTGGTCCGTCATCATATCGCTCCGCCGCCAGCTGCTGGAGATGGGAACCAGCGCGGCCTGGATACTGGTGCGGCAGTCGCGCAGGCCGGCACTGCCGATGTACTTGCACTTCGGGGGAACGTAGGAGGTGCCTGCGCGAGCAATGGCGGAGACCGCATTCCAGAAGAGGACATGGTCCGCGTGATGCTCCGACAGGTGCAGACCAGCGAAGAGGAGGCAGAGCGCCCGGTCCGCTTCCTTCTTACATCAGGCGGCCTCGTAACCAAAAAAATCGGTGATGCGCCCCTTTTTGTTGCTGCCGCAACCGTTAACCGCAGTCAGCGCTTGCTCCTCCGCCTCGCGCTTCCCCTCCCGCACCCTAGTCCGTGCCTCGTACAGTGCCTTAACTCCATCGCGCACGTCTTGTGTCACCGCGTTGCAGAGGGTCACATCGCGACGACGGAGTTTGTTCCACTCGGCGAGGTGCTGCGCGCAACGCGTCATCCCGCCATTGAAGGTGTGCCCGCAAAAACAGCAGCGGCGGTAGTCCGTAGTCTTGCCGTCAGCGTTAAGCGCAGTTTCGAAATGCTTAAAAATTAGGATGCGACACATCTGTAACGTAAACAGCACCGGAGGAGGAGGAAGCCTTGCCATCGTGAGTAGGTGCAGGCACGCTTGCGGGGGTTGATGGGGTGGACGACGCCATGACCACTACGGCAAAGTAAAAGTGGAACTTAGCTAAGCTAAGCTAGGGGAGGGAGAGGTTGGAGTTGGAAAATGAAAGGAGATGGTGATTCAGATCTAAAATATGGTGGGAATGGGGGACGACAAACACGGGATGCCTTCCATCCACGTCCACAGCTGGTGAGGGGTGGGCGAAAAAGCATGGGTGAAAATTTCTGAGAGTTCGCGATGTCGCGAACTCGCCATCTTTTTTTTTTCAAATTTGTTTTACCGGGCAGCCCCGATATTGCGTATCGCGTATTCCAAGCGTATCAGCGTATTGCGTATATTCGCAAGTGTATATACTCAATACGCAAAGCCTGCTGTGCGTTTTTCCAACATAGCCTCACAACCCTAGACCTCTCCCCATACAGTCCCTGCCTGACGTGGGAGCAGAGCAGCGAGTGCAGGTGGCAGTGGGCATGCGTGCTGACCCACTGCTCTCTATTCTTTCCCGATCCCTCCCTTCCACCCACCCCCCTCTTCACTCTGCCCCTCTCGCCCCCAACCCCAGACCTCTCCCCAAACAGCCCATGCCTGTCGTGGGAGCAGCGGGTGCAGGTGGCAGTGGGCATGAGTGAGGGCGTGGCGTATCTGCACGGGCAGAACATCATTCACCGCGACTTCAAGTCACAAAACGTGATGCTGGACTCGGTATGTGTGGGGGAGACAGTTGGGAGTTTGGGGAGTGGGGGGAGCATTGTTGGTTGGTAGGTATGAGTGAGGGCGTGGTGTATCTGCATGGGCAGAACATTATTCACCGAGACTCAAGTCACACAGTGATATGCTGGGCTCGACTTGGTATGCGTGGGGTGTGGGGAAAGGGGAGGGGCAGTCGGGGCGAGGGTGTGGGAGGTGCTGATGGGTGTGGGAGGTGCTGATGGGTGTGGGAGGTGCTGATGGGTGTGGCCATGGGTGAGGTCTTGCCATATCTGGACCATGTGGTTGCGTGGGAGGGTTGTTTGGGAGGCAGGGGCGTTTTTGGCATACGGGTGGGCCAGGCGCGCATGTACTCAACGACAAAATCATTTGCGGAGATTCCACGCAAAGTTGAAGTCCGATTTTTTTTCTTTCTTTTTTTGTGTGTCTTGATCCATCCCTTTGGAGAGGGTTGTCATGCTGGACAACTCATCCTTCCAGTCATCCCCACCCACCTCCTCCTACCCTTTCCCTCTCACTCTCCCATTCCATGCCACCAGGCGTTGAGAGCCAAGGTGACGGACTTTGGAATGGCAACGCGGGGCCCGGAGGAGGGGAAGAGCCACGTGTCAACTCGCATCATGGGCACCATGGGGTACCTCGACCCTGACTATATTGAGACGGGTGAGAGGAGGGGCTTGTAATGAGTATATGAGTTGCGTTGCATTCTGTGGGTACAGAGGGCGGGAGGGAAATATGAGTGTCAACTCGCATCATACAGGCAGCACTATGGGGTTCCTCAACCTGGATGATGAGAGGCTTGTAATGAGTGAAAGAGCTGCGTATTGTTGGCACCAATGGGAGGAGGAGAAGACACGCATGTTGACTTGCATCATGGGTGGGTATCTCGGCCCTGATTATATTGACGCTGGTGAGGTGATTGGCTTTTATTGATCACAGGGGTTGCTTATAACTGACACTGAGGAGAGGAGAGGAAGGCACATAGCCTGCCTGCCTGCTTATTTTGACACAAATGCGATGAGCTTGTAGCGAGTACAGGGGTTGACTATAGTGGGTTTGGAAAAGAGCTGGAGACATGTACGGTACGTCCCGTAGCACCATGTGGATCATACCTCACGATCTCACCCCTTGCCTAACGTCTACTTTGTCGGAAATTTCCTGGGGCAACTGCTCACCCCGGTCATTACGGTCCCACCCAACTTGGCTTCACCTCGCCCCCCCTTCCCCCGTCCCCCTTTCTTTCTCCCCCCTCTTCCCTTTCTCCCCACACGCATCCCCCCTTGTTCCCTTACCCACCCAGGCCATCTGACCCCTCTGAGCGACGTCTACTCCCTCGGCATTGTGTTCTTGGAGCTGCTCACTAGTCGCACCCGCGCCCTTCCCTCCTCCTGAAACCCCTTTCACTCCCTCCCCAATTCCCACTTTTCCTTTAAATCACCCAGGTCATCTGACCCCTCTGACATCTACTCCCTCGGCATCATGTTCCTGGAGCTCCTCACAGACCGTGCCACCCCCGCCACCACGGCTACACACAATCACCTGTTTTCCCTTTCCTCCCTGTTTCACCCAGGTCATCTGACCCCTCTCAGCGACGTCTACTCCCTCGGCATTGTTTTTTTGGAGCTGCTCACTGGCCGCACCCCCGCCACCACCGCCACACACAACCGCCTCTTCCCCTGGATCCACAAACAGCTGGCACGAGGAAAGGGCGGTGGAGGAGAAGCAGCAGCAGGCACAGCAGAAGATGGACAGCAGCAGCAGCAGCAGCAGGGGGGGAAGGGGGGTGGGTTCCACATAAGCCAGGTGGTGGATCCGAGACTGAAGGGGCAGTTCTCAGTGTCAGCAGCGCAGAAGCTGCTGCTGATCGCCATGTACTGCATTCAGGAGGAGCCGATTAAGCGACCCGACATCAAACAGGTGGTGAAGAAAGTGAGGGAGATCGCTGGGGCAGGTGGGGCGGTGCAGGGGGTGGGAGCGGCTGTGGCAGGTGGTGCAGGGCAAGGGTTGGTGGCAGGAAGAGCAGCAGGGCAAGTTATGGCAGGGCCTGGAGGGCCAATGCAGCAACCGGCAAGTGGAATGGGGATGGATGAGCACGGTCATTCACAGCAAACACCACATGTCATGCAGCAACATGGATACATGGGTACAGGACAGCAGCCACCAGCATATGCTGTCAACCAACCAGCATATGGCATGGCACAACCACATGGCATTGCTCAGCCGAATGGAATGGCACAAGCACACGGCATGGCGCAACCACATGGTGCTGCACAACCGCATGCCATGGCACATCCATATGGCATGGCGCAACCACATGGTGCTGCACAACCGCATGCCATGGCACATCCATATGGCATGGCACAACCAGCATACCCAATGGCACAGCAAGGTCATGATGGTTCAGGAGGGCAGCCGGCACAAGGCATGGTGCATCCCATGTATGCCATGGGGCAAGGGGTGGGTTGCAGGGCTCCATAGCTAGGGTAAATCAGGAGGGGCGCCATGGAATGGGACTAGGAGAGAGCATTGCAGTGGGGAACATACGAGTGTAGGTGGTAACCCTTAACAGCTCGCCAATTTATACACCGGTGCCCGTTACGGTATGTGCTAATTTATTAGCCACCATTGGCCATGTAAAAGGCTATGTTTGGCAGTCTGATCTGGTATATACACTGCAGAATATTCATAAGCTTCCGGATAAAACACACTGAAGACTACATTGAAGAGTAGTGAGGGTTTTGAAGAGAGAACTGGGAACCTGCAGAGAGTTGAACAATGACTGAAGACTAGAGGGACGAAAAGAGCCAATTCATAACACCTCAACCTACACATAGTTATACAAATCCCAATCATAAAAAGGCACATCACTTCCATAAGAACCATCTACTAATCACACACTGGTGGAAGAGCCACTCTGCCTGCCCATCTGCTCCGCTCTCGCCAGCTGAGCAGCAAAGTCAGAGTCAGCTGAGGTGCCAATCTCCCTGTCAATGCGGCGTGCAGCTGTGTGCGCCTCACCCCCGAGCACCTCCTCCCTCAGCGCCAGCAGGTCTCCCAGCACTCGACCCATGGTGGGGCGGGAGGCAGTGGGCATGGCAGTGCAGGTGAGGGCAAGGCGAGCCATGCGCAGCACCAAGTCATCCGGTGCATCCAAGTGAGGGTCCTTGAATGCCGCCACGGCGCTGGACGCCACCAATGGAGCCACCTGCACAATATGAATGGCACAAACTACACTAAGAAATTCCGAGACACCACAAATCCACTTGACCGTGGTGAAGTGTTGATGAGCAAGCACGTTCATTTCCAACACTGAGAATGGTTTGAGTCCTGAGGGTGAAACCGTGGGGGTAGGCATTTCTTGTGACGCAGTGACTGCCTGATTTGCAAAATTAAGCGCAATTCTTTTGAAATTTGTTGCCCACCTAGTGCCTGAAGGTTGATTTGGCTCACCCATTGCTTGAGGTTGATCTGGGTGTCATATTTCAAATGAATGGCCTTGCGTGCCGTGATGATGGCCAGCATCACCACTCCAAAGCTGCAAATGCCAAGTCAACAAAAGATTGATACCAGTAAGAGGCTTTCTTGAACTGCATGGCTTCCTTTGTGTGATGGCCACTTATACATTATTTCCTAAAAGCCCTGTGTGTCTTTGAATGCAAAACAGCCAAGTAAAAATGATACACTATCCACATTTGGGGTGCATGGTGCTTTCACCAATCTGATAGCCCGAAACGTATCAAATAAATCAAGAAGGCTTCAAAACAAGGGGTCCTCTATCTAGTCGTTTTCAACGTGAACACCCCATGCGAACGTGTGCACATCTCATGCGAATGTGTGCACACCCCATGCGAACGTGGTGTCTGCCATGGTGCTAGCTAATCTCTCACCTGTACACGTCTGCAGCTGGAGTGGCCTTGTGTGTCTTGTAGTAGGCAGGGTCCACATAGCCCGGTGTTCCCATCACTCGAGTGGCCGCCACAGATGTGCCCATGGAGGTGCCTCCACTCAGCTTCACCAGCCCAAAGTCTGCAATCTTGGCCTGCATAGAAGGTATATTATCATATGAGCAAAAGGAGGCTGACTGGTGCATGTTGGCAAATTGGTGGTGAGATGGGTCTTTGATAACTACAAGAAATGGGCGAACATCTGAGCGAGGAGAAAATGATGTGCTAGTACCGCATGTACAAGAGTGGATTCACGAAGGAAATGTTAAGTCAAAACATGCCTGCATTTTTGCATCGAGGAGAATGTTGGCCGGCTTGATGTCGCGATGCACAATGCCAAAGTCATGAAGGTACTGCAATCCCTTTGCCACTCCAACCAGAACATTCAGCCGTTGCCGCAGAGTTAGAGGATGAGAAACACCTGATCCGATCCAGCTCTCAAGGTCGTTGTTTTCCATGTACTCGTAGATCAGGATCTGCTCTATGTGCCTCGTGGTTAAGTTCACATCCATACAATAGCCGAGCAGCCGCACAAGATGGGGATGGTGCTTGCTGGCCATTTCTTTCACCTGAAGGACGAAGAAGAGTGAGTCGTCAGAGACAATTTCAGGTGGAAGGAGAATAGCATGGACAAAATATACCATGGATGTTCATGTTATATGTCCACAAAAATCTCAAATCTTTACGAAGGAAATTAGAGTACATGAAATGCATACCTCGGTTTGGAAGTCGTTGGTGAGTACCCTGGCTCGTTTGACGGCCCACATCTGGGAAGAGCTATGAGGACACACGCCCTTGTAGACATCACCAAAGCTGCCGCTACCAATCCTATTATTCTCTGCCCAATCCGCTGTTGCATTAGCCAGCTCTTCCAGGGAGTACTCCTGGCACACATGTGGCCGTGTTGCCTCCATCTCCACCACCACGCATTCTTTCCCCGCCCCTGCTGCTGCAGCTGCTGCTGCGGCTGCGGCTGCTGCTGCTGCTGCTGCTTCGTTTGAATGTTTGTCCTCTGCATGCGTTTCTGTGATTTGGAGGAAGTGAGTGGTAGGGGACTGGTGGGTGCGATCAAAACAGGAGACTAGTCAGCCTTGGAAGGAAAAAACATGGAAAATAAGGATCCGAAGGAAGGAGTGTTTGAGTGGGAGAGGAATAGAGAGATTGATAGGGACGTTAATTGATGAGTGCAGAGGGAGGTAGCAACAACTTGCCTTGATGCTCCATGGCCACCACCCGATCCCTGCTCTCCTTGTCTGTACAGCTCCTCGTGCGGCTTCTTGTGCTACTCCGAGTGTGGCTCTTTGTGGAAAGAGATTTAGATGCCTCTTGTGCTGCTTCATTCTTGCAGCCTCTCCTGCACAGCACCACTCCCACCAGCAGCATCACAAGGGCAACTGCAGCACCAACAGCAATGATGACAATGGCTTCCACTGACAGACCACCTCCAGACTGGGAAGGAGCCGCTGGAGAAGGGGGTGCTGGAGAGATATGCATCACATGGCACATTCACATACATGGAGGGAATGCAAGTCATGTGGTATCAGCATTGCAGCTTATGTTTCCCTTTATCAGCTACCGCACATGTGGCATGCAACGATTATAAGCACTGGAGCTGGAAGTACACATGAAAAAACAATTCGCACATACAAATCATGAAGGTATCATAATGCTCACTTGGTGAATCTGAGTAGTTGCTACATGCTCACATGGGACTGGCTGGACACATGTGTCGCAGAAGGAGGAACAGTTTCTGCAAAAAACACTTGACGCGTTCTGTTTGACCCCGCAGCTGCTGTTGTCAGATGGGCATGTCAGAGCAGTTCCATCAAAATAGCTGCAGATGTAAAGGAAACGTGTTGACAATCAAGGGGGAAAAGAAGAAATGCAGGTTTCTACAGTTGTCACCTTGCATTTGATCAGTGCAATGAGTGCGAGTCATAGTGCACACTATATAATACAAAGTTTTGCACAAAAAGGAATGGAAACAGTGTGCTGATTGCCATACTGACAGATATTTGAGCCTGCTCAAGTTGCCAATGCTTGGAGGAATGGATCCAGTAAATTTGTTCCATCTTAAATCCCTGAATTCCATTGGAAACGGAAAAAAATAGAGGGGGGCATACTTTGTGCCAGCTATGTAAGCTGAACAAACTTGTGGTTGCAATCAAGACTGGAATTTTGGTGCCAGGTATAATGTCAGGGGATGGTGAATAATCAAGGAAGAATAGCTCTCATTAATTTGATACATAATGATTGCTTCAAATGGATACCTACAAATATACCAGGTTGCTCAAGCTGCCGATGGTTGATGGAATGGATCCGCTGAAACCATTACTCGATAGAATACTAATGGAGCACGATGTAGGTTCCATGGGTAGAGGGATAAAAGAAGGGTAGAAAAAGAGAATGGTGATAGAGTTAGGCTGCCAACAAATGTGTAATAGTATTTACATGAAGTGTGCTTTAGTGGGTTGGACGTGGGTTTGTTATCATAACCACTTCCGTTCTGGATTAAGCAATCTGCAACTCGCATTTCAAGACTAGGCGATGCAAATTCCGCTCTTTCCCATCTTTCCCATGACTAGGCGGTTTCTAACGGAAGGAGAGGCACATGCGAGTAGTTATGAGTCATCTACACATTCCATGCAAATCATAGGCACCAGCAAGCGTGAGCAAAAACATCAATGGCTTATGTTGTTCTTAAGTTGTTCTGACTCCCACTTTCCATCACCACCAACGCAACCAAATTCAAAGCCCTCATATTCTTTCCTCAGTCGACCTTGTGGTTGCAACTAGGGGTCATCGCAAAAAGTGCAACGTTCACAGATCGTTTTCACCATTCGAGCTCGGGCATAAAGTCGGAAATCGTCCGCCAAGTGTTCGCCAAATGTTTTTTTCTCGTTTCTTTGCACGTAAATGATTCGCGAGTCTTCTGCGGATGGGATGTTATGCGAATGAGTTGTTTTGTAAATGTTACACCTGAATAATAAACATGTTCCCGTGGCTTATATTTGCATAAATGATTGGTTTTTGTACACTTAAACTTCTACAAAGTTTTAAAATTGTGCATAAGTAACTGAAATATAATAATATATAAAATATGTGCAATTTGCCAAAAAAAACTAACTGAATCCAACCCCAACCAACTCAACCCATATCTCACACGCTATTCGAGGTTCGGCGAGACCTGTAACCAGGCTGGGTTACGCAGCTCCAATGGGTTGCGAAACCCAGATACCACGTCCTAACCCTATGCACCGTGAGGAAATTGAACAACCCCCTCGGGCATCAAAAGGGGCCATGCGATTGGTCGAAGCCAAACAACAACAATCGCAAACCCAACCCACAGCCTGCTCCCTCGACAGCAAAAACGACTAAGGGAAAGATGGTAGCAGATCTCGAATTCGGGATCTGTAATTTTCTCGACTTGCCCTCGTTTCCTCCTAGATCCATGCTCATGCGTAGCCATGCTAGAGAGTTGGTAGCGACTTATAAGATGGGATCGAGGCGACACCGACGTCAGGCTAGTGAACACGGATATCAATTGAGGTTCTTGGCGCGCGTAGCCTAGCCTGGACGAAATCACCAGCGCCTGAAAACAAGGGCAGGAAACAAATGACGAATCCCCCGCTGCTAACAGCCCACCGTTGCGGGCCGCTATAGCTTCCCGCCGCCTTCGATCTCCTCGTACGAAAATGCCACCCGCGGCTTCCCACATCATGCTATCCCTGTCCTCGCGCTTCCTTGCTTCCCAAATCCCCGCTTCCCGCTTTCGAAAGCACGCCCGCATCTCACCTTCACGTGCTGCAGCATCTCGCTGTCCCTCGCTTCCTTCCACCCGCTTTCACCCGCGTCCCGCTATCGCTTGCTCCCCGAATCCCGCTTTCCCATGCTCCTCGCATTACCTTGCTCCCCGCATTCCAATGCTCCTCGCATTCCCATGCTTCCCTCATTCCCATTTTCCCGGCATTCCCATGTTCCCCGCATTCCCATGTTCCCCGCATTCCCTTGCTCCCCGCATCTCGCTTTCCCATGCTCCCCGCATTCCCTTGCTCCCCGCATCCCGCTTTCCCATGCTCCCCGCATTCCCATGTTCCCTGCATTCCCTTGCTCCCCGCATCCTGCTTTCCCATCCTCCCCGCATTCCCATGTTCCCCGCATTCCCTTGCTTGCTCCCCGCATCCCGCTTTCCCATGCTCACTGCATTCCCTTGCTCCCCGCATTTCCTTGCTCCCCACATCCCGCATTCCCATGCTCTTCCCCGCATCCCGCATTCCCTCCCCGCATCCGTTCCCCGCATTCCCTGCTCCCCGCACCCCGCTTCCCATGCTCCCCGCATTCCCATGTTCCCCGCATTCCTTGCTCCCCGCACCCTGCTTTCCCATCCTCCCCGCATACCCATGTTCCCCGCATTCCCTTGCTCCCCGCATCCCGCTTTCCCATGCTCTCCGCATTCCCTTGCTCCCCGCACCCCGCTTTCCCATCCTCCCCACATTCCCATGTTCCCCGCATTCCCTTGCTTGCTCCCCGCATCCCGCTTTCCCATGCTCTCTGCATTCCCTTGCTCCCCGCATTTCCTTGCTCCCCACATCCCGCATTCCCATGCTCCCCGCATTTCCTTGCTCCTCGCATCCCGCATTCCCATGCTCCCCGCATTCCCGTGTTCCCCGCATTCCCTTGCTCCCCGCACCCCGCTTTCCCATGCTCCCCGCATTCCCATGTTCCCCGCATTCCTTGCTCCCCGCACCCTGCTTTCCCATCCTCCCCGCATACCCATGTTCCCCGCATTCCCTTGCTCCCCGCATCCCGCTTTCCCATGCTCTCCGCATTCCCTTGCTCCCCGCTTTCCCATGCTCTCCGCATCCCCTTGCTCTCCGCATCCCCTTGCTCCCCGCATTTCTTTGCTCCCCACATCCCCCATTCCCATGTTCCCCGCATTCCCTTGCTCCCCGCACCACGCTTTCCCATCCTCCCCGCATTCCCTTGCTCCCTGCACCCCGCTTGCCCATGCTCCCCGCATTCCCATGCTCCCCGCATTCTCATGCACCCCGCATTCCTTGCTCCCCACATCCCGCTTTCCCTTGTTCCCCGCATTCCCATGCTCACCGCTGTCCCATGCCCCCGCTTTCCCATGCTCCCCTCATTCCATGCTCCCCGCATTCCCATGCTCCCCGTGCTCCCCGCATTCACATGCTTCGCGCATTCCCATGCTTCCCACATTCCCTTGCGACCCGCACCCCGCTTGCCCTCGCTAATCCGCTGCTGCCTCTCTCCCCTGTTTCCCGCCACCCGCTTCCCCTAGCTTCCAGCATGCCGCTTTCCCCCGCTTCCTGTTTCTGCCATTCCCCCCTTTTCACATCCCGCTTTCCCCCGGTAGCGACTAGCGCTTCCCGCTTCACCTCGCGGACCACTTCCCGCTTTCCCTTGCGGGTCGCTTCCCACTTTCCCACGTTGTAACGTGTTACCCGCTTTTTCGCGCGCTGCAATCCCCTGCCTTCTCATTGAATGAAAACAGATAAAGGTT